AGCCTTCGGAACAAGTTTTAATTCTGTATTGCAGATTTCCAATAGAGAGTTATGGTTATAAATATGGTTAAAAAATAAGACGGACCTGTTGGTCTAGTGGTTAGTGCCCCTGACTGCTAATCCGGAGGTCGTGGGTTCGATACCCACCCAGGACAAATAATGTGTAATGAGCATAATCATTTGTTCTGTGTCTGGGTGTAATTTATCTAAAATATGTATGTATTTAAAAATATATAAGTATGTTTATCAGCAGTCTGGTCACCATAGCATAGGCTCTGCCTAGTTTGGGATCAGACGGCCGTGTGTGAGATGGGAGAAAAAACAAATATGGGAGATGCTTCGACTTCGGCTCGAATGGAGTTATACCACGGCCTCACAAAAAATCTGTGTTAAGTAATTCTTTCTTTTGCTTTTCACCGAGTATATGAGGTTACGGGCACCCAAATCCCCTTCTCCCTAATTCTTGTTCGTGTGGTGACGAATTAAGAATACGAAAAGACACCACCCCTATTGATCCCGTGGGTGTTGTAAGAACGGACTAAAGGAGCAAACTACGCTGGACAACAGCACTGCAAAGAGAAGGAAATCTTAAAACAAACCCTATACCAACCCGTCTGGGCAGCGTGGTATAGTAGGCCAAAACCTCCTTTCTAAGGAGACGCCTCCTTTCCAGCAGTGGACTATTAGATGCTATTGATGATGATGATCATAAAATACATACAAATATTAAACAAATTACACCCAGACACAGAACAAATGAAAGTGCTCATCACGCAATTATTTGTCCTGGATGGGAATCGAAGCAATTACCTCTATGTGGCTGTCAGATAGTTAGGTGTTATCTAAACGGGTATAATGTATAGACCAGTTAGTACAAATAGTAGTTAAGACTATTGGTATTGGTTGTGGGCTCCGGTTTCCAAATAAGACTCAAGAGTGGTCCTTCATGCGTCGAGGACAGATTGGCTAGGTAAGTCAACCAAGCTCTCAGAAGCGCAGAAGCCTCACACAGATTTCTAGAAGCGATTTTATTTCAGGAATGATACTTGCCCGTTGTGTGGCCAATCCCTCGCATTCCAGGATTACGTGGGTGCCGTTTTTTCTGCTTTCAGACATCCTCTGTAAAGTGGATTATCCGTCGCATTAATGGTGAATAGTTGTCAACTATTCGGATTTCTAGTCTGCTAAGACTGATCAATCTGCAGGTGAGTCGTCGTGTGACTTCAGTTAGCACCAGTTTGGATTGTCTGAAGCCGAGTGAGTTTTTCCACCTCCATTTGTGAGCTTCACGTGTTCGTTGCCTGGCCCAGAATCGAATGGTTAAAAGGTATTGGCTTAGTGGTTGTGTCACATCAACATACCTTAATAGTCCGCTGCTGGACATAGACCTCTCCTTAGAAAGGAAACTATACCACGCTGGCCAGACGGGTTGGTATAGGGTCAAGTTTTCCTTTTGCGTGGGGTTCCCCTGCGACGGACGCCAGGGGCGAAGCCGTCGAGGAGTGGGCGGCGTCGGTGGGCCTCTGTTTGCTGAACAGGGGCTCCACCAACACGTGCGTGCGACAGCAGGGGGGGTCGATAGTGGACCTTTCGTTCGCTACCCCTGCAGTCGCCGCACGAGTAAGGAACTGGTGTGTCCTGGAAGAGGTCGAGACGCTCTCGGATCATTTGTACATCCGATTCGAGCTCTCCCGGTCCCAGGACCCCAGTAGGGGTCACGCGGCGCGGCGCCCTTCCCGCTTCCCGCGGTGGGCTATCGCCAAGCTCGACAGGGACCTACTAGAGGAGGCGGCCATTATTCACTCTTGGCTGTCTCCGCAGGCCCCGACCGAGGAGGTCGACATGGGGGCTGGTCGCTTCTGCAATGCGATTACGCAGATTTGCGATGCGGCCATGCCCCGCGTTCGTGGTTGTCGGCCTCCAAGGAAGGAGGTCTACTGGTGGTCCCAGGAGTTGGCGGACCTCCGTGCGGCCTGTGTACGTGCCCGGAGGTCCCTCACCCGTAGTCGGCGACGTCACCGCGGGGTCGGTGAGGAGGTGGACCGGCTTCATGAGGAGTACCGAGAAGCTCGGAAAACTCTGAGGCTGGCCATCTGCCGCGCCAAGGATGCGTGTAGAGAGGAGATGCTGGAGAGTCTCGAGCGTGACCCCTGGGGTCGCCCTTATCGTGCGGTGCGTCAAAAGCTCCGCACGTCGGGCCCCCCCCTTACGGAGACTCTCCAGCCCAGCTTCCTGCAGGAAGTGGTCGAGGGCCTATTCCCGCAGCGGGCGGAGCACACGCCCCCGTCGATGGCTGCATCAGCCGGAGACGACGGAGGCAGCGAGGGTGATGTTCCGCCCGTCACGGAATCGGAGTTGGGGGCGGCTGTTCTACGGATTCGATCCAAGAACACCGCCCCCGGGCCGGACGGGGTTCCAGCCCGAGTGATGGCCCGAGCCCTCGACTACATGTCGGACCACCTCAGGGGGGTGTTGGACGCTAGCCTGGCGTCCGGACGCTTCCCTGAGCGCTGGAAATGCGGGAAGCTGGTCCTGCTGCAGAAGCCGGGACGGCCTGCCGAATCGGTCGCGGCCTATAGGCCTATCGTGTTGCTGGACGAGGCGGGCAAACTTTTTGAGAGGGTGCTCTCTGCCCGCATCGTCCGGCACCTCTGCGAGGTTGGCCCCGATCTGTCGGACGCCCAATTCGGTTTCCGAGAGGGGCGTTCGACGATCGATGCCGTGATGCGCCTTAGGGCCGTGACCGAGGAGGCCGTGAGCTGCGGCGGAGTGGTGTTGGCGGTGTCCTTGGACATCGCCAACGCCTTCAATAGTCTGCCATTCAGCTGCATCAGGGAAGCGCTCCGCTACCACGGAGTGCCGGAGTACCTGAGGCGGTTGGTGGCAGACTATCTTGAGGAGCGAACCGTCATGTACGAGGACCGAGATGGCGTCTTGAGACGCAGGGCCATGTCGTGCGGTGTTCCGCAGGGGTCTGTCCTAGGACCTCTCCTGTGGAACATCGGGTACGACTGGGCCCTACGAGGGCGTCTCCCCCCCGGGCTGGGTGTAATCTGCTACGCGGATGACACTTTAGTCACGGCCCGGGGGGCTAACTTCCAGGAGGCGGCGCGCCTGGCCGCCACGGGAGTTTCCCAGGTGGTCGGGCGCATTGAGGCGTTGGGTTTGCGGGTGGCCCTGGATAAGACGGAGGCCCTATTATTTCATGGGCCCCGTCGTGGTCCACCCGCCGGCGCCTCAATCGAGGTCGGCTCGGTCCTCGTACCGGTCCGGGCCCAGATGAGGTACCTGGGTCTGGTCCTAGACGGTAGGTGGCTCTTCGACGAGCACTTCCGACAGCTTGGTCCGAAGCTGGTGGACACTGCCTCCGCCCTAGGGCGACTTTTGCCCAATTTGGGCGGGGCCAGTGTTCCCACGAGGCGGCTGTACGCGGGGGTTGTCCGGTCCATGGCGCTTTATGGTGCACCGGTGTGGGTGGCGGCTCTGACCGCCCCGAATAGGGCGCGCCTCTGGCGCCCCCAGAGGATATTGGCGGTCAGAGCCATACGCGGATACCGCACGGTGTCCACCGAGGCGGCTTGCGCCTTGGCCGGAACACCCCCGTGGGATTTGGAGGCGGAAGTGCTCGCCGAAGTTTATCGGCGAGTGGCTGACTTCCGGGCGGAGAGCGGATTTCGCCCTCCGCCCGAAGACGTGCGCGAGTGGCGCGAAGCCGCTCGCCTAGCCACCATGGTGAGATGGTCGTTCCGGCTGGAGACTCCACGCGCTGGCTTCGCCGCCGTGGAGGCTCTCCAGCCGGTCATCGCCGAGTGGGCGGGGCGGCAGCACGGGACCCTTTCCTTCCGGCTGACGCAGGTGCTTTCCGGGCACGGTTGCTTCGGAAAGTACCTGTACTCGGTCGCTAGGAGGGAATCGAGTCCCGCCTGCCACCACTGCGACTGCGGTGAGGATTCGGCCCAGCACACGCTGGCGGTTTGCCCCGCATGGGCGACGCAGCGCCGGGCCCTCACTGCAGTCATCGGAGCAGATCTCTCGCTACCGGCCGTAATTCGCTCCATGGCCGGTAGCGACAGTTGTTTTACCGCGGTCGCAACCTTCTGCGAGGAGGTAATCTCGCAGAAGGAGGCGGCGGAGAAGGCCCGGGAGGACGACCTCCATTCGGACCTGATTCGCCGCCGGCGAACCGGGCGGCGGAGGCGCGCTCACCTGCGCCTCATGCCGCCCTGAGTGTGGCCGCGGGTGGACGGGATGGGTTCTCCCCTCCACCCGCATTAGTTGGCCAGCCGCGAGGGGGCGGCGTCCGCGTGTGCCGGACGCCGCCTAAAGAGAGGGTCCACTGAGACGGAGCCCGCGTCAGGAGCGGGCAGGCGCTGGGAGGGGTCCAGAAGGAGATAGGTACCTGGACCCCTCCTAAACTGGAAGCGCAAAGAGGGCACACCGTGTGGTTTTAGTCGGTTCGAGTCCGACACACCGCCCCGCCGAACAAGAGCCCCGGCGGGGTGACGGTCCGAGGGGATTTCCACACGTAAAAAAAAAAAAAAAAAAAAAAAAAAAAAAAAAGGGTCAAGTTTTCCTTTTCTTTGCAGTGCTGTTGTTCTGCGTAGTTTGCTTCCCTAATTCGCTCTTACTACACCCACGTGATTAATAGGAGTAGTGACACTCCTGGTGGACTAATAATACACTAGACCAATAGACTAATAGTAATCCATACTTATATTTACTTCCATATTTATAATATTAAAGTGAAAGTGAGTTTATTTGTTACTTTTACACCTACACCACTAAATCGATTTGAAAAATTCTTTTACAAATGGCAAACTACGTTACCAGCTAGTAACATATGTTTACTTATTTTAATCGATACAAATTTATAAGCAGTGTTGTATTCATTCCCATATTACATGTATAAATTAAAATACGTTTAAATCTTAATAAGCTCTATAATTATTTATTTACAGTTATTATCTTAAGCTAATTGGAACAATATTATTTACAGTACATCACGTCGATTTAGATAATACGTTCCTTAATTTTTTCCAAAACTCCTCTGTATTATTTTCATCCCAAGAGTGATAGATCTTTGTCTTCAGTAGGTACTTTAATGTTACTGTCAAGTATTTACTCTGAATATCACCCAATCTCACTAATACTAATGGGTCGTACGAGGTCCCGTCCTCCAAGAATATCCTGTGGTATTCTGCAAGCTGCATCTCCCATCGACACCAATGGGATTTAGCGAAATTGTTGCTGATGATTAAGATTATATACTTACTATCATGTATACTCGTCATCACTGCTTCGGATATAAAAGAGCCTATTTCAAAATCTCTTTCGTAGACACATAACTTTAAGTAAGGCGGCTTTGACTCAAATTGCACAATCATCTCTTGAACAAAGTCTCTATCTTCATTAGAATACGACACAAAAGCATCATACTTATACTGCTTGTTTAGAACTGCCTCTGACTGTTTCTTAGGCAGCCTTCTACCTAACGCTATCTTCGTCAGAAACATCCAGTACCGTATGTATACTTTGTATTTATATATAATTATTGCTATCATTACGACTAGAATTACAGTGACCAAAGATGGCGCAGTCCAAACCAGTACCATCACATTAGATATCTTTTCATACATCAAACAGTGTAAACTTTTTATGGACGATAGGTATTCAGATATTCTCCTGTCTTCCCACAAGTCAGGACTGCTGCACTGAACTTTGGAAGATGAAAAATATTGCTTCAATTCCTTACTCCCATTAACTTGCAGCCAACGATAAGTGCCAAACATCGATCTGCAGTCGCATATAAAAATATTATAGGTGATGTCTATAATTACATTTGAACTGTGCTTGGTCTCCAACAAATAACCAAAATCTTCAATCATACTTATCGAAAAATGAGAAATTTTATTATTCATCAAGTATAGTGCCGTTGGTTTTACACCAGACGCCAGAAATATAGGTTTCCACCAAGATATCAATAGGTTCTCGCTTAGATCTAAGAACTTCAAGAGTTTAAGCGGTTTCAGTACTTCAGCTGAAATAGAATTAAGCTGATTGTTTCTAAGTATCAGGTGGGTTAAGTTTGGCATCATTTCAAAAATATTTTCATCTTCTTGAAGACGTTTGATTCCACAATTCTCGAAACTGAGAACTTTCAACGCATTCAATCCGTCAAATTGATCACATGTTAAGTTTTCACTTGCTGTTAAAGGGTTATTAGCTAAATTTAACATTTCAAGCCGTTTCATTGGTTTAAAACTGCCAGGTCCTATGTAGTACAGAGTATCATTTTGCATGTCCAGTATTCTGAGATTTTCTAATCCTATAAACGTATAATGAAATATTGACCTGACTCTGTTGAAAGCAATATTCAAGATTTGTAGCTCATTGCTTTGTGTGAATGTGTATCTATCAATTTCAAAAAATACTGGATTGTTCGGTTGCCCTTTGTTATTGGATAGGTCTAAAAACCTTAGTTGATTAGACAGATGAGTTCCATGGATCCCTGGTAAATTATTTCCACTTAATAATAAGCCCTTAAGGTTTGGGAATTTCTCAGGGTCAAAAGATCTAGGTTCTATCAAAAGAGCCAGAACTTTTCTCATGTCCATTAATTGTATGTTTGCCATTCGAGGAAAAGCATCATCTGCTACGGTTTCGAATTGATTTCTTGCAAGCATTAAATTCTGTACAGTAGAATTTGCTATGATATCTAGGAGTTTTCTTGGTGGCTGCTTCCTGAATCCTAATCCAGATAAATCCAATTCTAATAAGTTTATATCATGTTTGATGAGCGTTTCCATAAAAGCTGCTATTAAAGATGAATTCATATCGTTGTCTGCGATTTGAAGTACTTTTAAATGTTTTAGTGGCAGAAAACTGTTGGGGTGTATGTAGTCCAACCTACATAAATTTAGATAAAGTTTCTCCAGAGTTGTGCCTGTCATTAATTGGAATGCCTCTTCTGGGATGGATCCAAAAGTATTCTCCGATAAATCCAGATTTATTAATGATGGTAATATGCTTGTTTTAAATGCTGGCGTTAGTTGAAGTATTGACAAAAATCCATTATTTACCAAGGTCAAGTTCCGAAGATTAATCAGTCCTTCAAAAGTCTTTTCGTGAATTGACCGGAGGAGAGTATTATAAGATATTGAGAGTTGTTGAAGATTTGTCAAATTGGAGAATGCTCCAGGTTGTATGTACCGGAGCTGATGGTTAGCTTCTAATTCAAGAACTTTAAGATAATACAGTGAGTCTAGTCTGCCTCGGTGGAGTTCTCTAATAACTGAAGTTCTGACTCTTAACACTTCGCTTTTTACTGTAACCTGCAATGAGGAGAAAATTAATTTTACAAATCTTTTTACATATATTGGTTGGTAGGTTTGCTTGGTAGGTTAAAAACAGTTTTTTTAGAACAGTAGGAGGTAAAGTATGTTTTATTAAACTGAAATGGAATTAGTATTTGAAAGGCTGATCAACGCAAACATACCTAATCATATAGAACTCAATATGTACTTGACAAGATCTATTCAGATTTGCCTTCTGTTTTTTTTTTTATGTCAGAGGTTGCAGACGATCAGACGGGTCACCTGATGGAAAGAGACCATCGCCGCCCATGAACGTCTGCAACTCAGGAGCCACAAACGCGTTGCCGCCGTTTTAAAATAAATCAGGTAAATATTGAGTTACCTACTAAAATTATAATCATGACTGAAGTTAACAACATTATTAATTGCCATTCTAATGTTTGATCGAAAACTCGAAAAGTTTTATTTATTTGTTAAAAAAAATACAGTGTTTTTACAGGATCCTTATCCCAATGAAATTGATCATAAATTATTATAATAATCGGATAGCCATACTTTAGCAGGCTATGCCTAGGTTAATTAATAACGGTTATCCGGAGGTCGGAGGTTATACCATAAAAAACCCAAACTGATTTGACACCATTGTTAACTTAAAAGCTCTGTTAATATAGTTTAACAATACCAGGCTTTCAGAAGCATGGCGGACGTCTTAGGTTTTTTAAATAGGATGTAAGAAATCGAAGTAGGATTAGTAATAACCCCATTTTTAATGCTCAAATTCTCATCAAAAAAGACTGAAAAATATAGAATACCTGTGGAAATCGCTTGCATTCATAGTTGCCGAAACATTCGATAATCTTATACTGCACGGTAGCTCTACAAATGCATCCAGAAGTCGAATCCTTGCCAAGCACTATAGGCAAAACTTCGTCCTTATTATCTTGGGGAAACAATTTATTGGTGTAAGCCTCGTATTCTCCTATGAAGTCGCTGCTCATCACGCATTGAGCAAAACAGAACAGCCATAAGAAGTAGACTAGTGACATGACTTGCTCTCTGAAATGAGAAAAGAAATTGAATAAATAATTACATCTTTTAAAATAAATAATTTTTAGTTACATTTAAAGTAAACGGGTCATCTGACGGTAAGTGACTTCCGTCGCCATGACATGGAAAAATCTTAAGTATGAACTAGCTGTTTGTCGAAGGTATATCCTAAAATAATTTTCCATTACGGTTTCTATACAATTAAGTATAGGAGGCGTTGAACAGGATCAGGAGAAAGTCCCGAGCGAAGAAGACGTCGGCGACGGTATGAGCCACCGACGGGACCATGCGCCGCCAGACTGTGTACTTCAGATTGTGGGCAGATTTCTACCATAAAGTATAGGATGGCGAGCCTGATCTAGTGATAGGCGGGCAGGCGGAATAGGGCCTATTTAGGTGCCGCGTCGAGCCGGGGGGGGGGCGGGGGGTAACCTGAATTATTTTTAACATTTATTTAACCTAAGTGTGTAATTTCTTACATTAAATCTCAGAGCTAACGCAAGCTGATAAGGCTGTGGTGTTGTCAGAGGCAAAGCAAACATCACGACCTACGTCTCCGAACGACACTGACATGTGGTTAACTTTACTTATTTCGAGAAAACAGGAAAAACTGCCTTGTTGACTGTCTTGTGTAAATAAAGGTTGAGTTTTGGCTTCGGTTCCTGGAGTAAACAGTAGTCTTAACTCAACTGATATTATTGTGTTTTATAAGTGAAATTGTACCTCGAGGATTGATTACGTACTTTAAGTAAAGACTATTTTTTTATGATTTCATTACAAATGTATAGTTTTCGGATTTTTTCCTGTACTTGTAATATAAAACACTGTTACTTGCCAAATTTCATAGTTCTAGGGCAACGGGAAGTAGCTTATAAATTTTCAATCCCTTGATAGTGTCAAAGTATGCGTTTTTTGAGCATAAAAGGCCGTTTTTAGTTTTATAGCTAATTAGCTTAATTTAAAATAATAATGAAATTCGATACCTCCACGCGTTTCGGAACGATAAAATAGCGTTAAAATAAGAACATAAAACAATGATCGCTTGGTTATAAATATTTGTAGAAAAAACAATAATCGAAACTGCAAAATTTACTTTCTGTACGGGTTTGCCGAAAAACACGACTCTGTTTCGTGGCGAACAGAATTCAGGAATGTGAACTGCAAAAAAGTAGCCAAAAATTAAATATTTCTATCTAAAACAGTTGACTATCATACAAACAATCAGAAACGAAAATGTGAGACAAATGTAATTTTATGTTGTCTTGAGTAGTTTGCTTCTTTAGTCGGTTCTTAGGACACCCACGGGGTGGTGACACTCCGTATTCTTAATCCGTCACCACACGGATATGGATCGGAAAGATCATCTGTTTATGCGCCGGATAAGAGTGTACGAGTAACATACGAAATAAATGAAATAATACATATAATACAGAATAGTAAATAAATAAATAAAAAGCGTCAAGAGCGTTTAAGACCCTGCGCAGTGTAGTGGCTGGCCCTGGCTTATGTTGTCTATAACGGCAGGTTTTAATCTAGTAACAACTTCATTTAAGTAAATTTATTCTAAGGATTTTAATTTTATTTTAACTTTTAATTCTAAATTCCTTAAGTTTATAAACCATAATCATTATGCATGGATAGCATGTTTGGGTGGGGCAGGACTTGTAAAATACTCGTAGTTATCACTTTATAGTTAAATGTGTCGCAAATGGATCACGCAAAAATTATAAGACAGAGGAACATCAGACTGCACGGATGGCGTAGTGGTTTAAAAAGCGGTCGCCACGCCACTTACTACTACGCTAAGTGCTGTGGGTCCGATCCCGACATGGGACTACAACTATTGTTGTTCTGAGTCTGGGTGTTCTTTGTGTCCGTTTCATGTATGTTTGTAAAGTTCCCCGCGACACAGGATATACTTATTCCTAAAGCGGGAGTTGTCTTTTAAGAAAAAAAACGAACAGGAGGAGAAGCAGGAAATAGCGAAACTTTAACGGTTCCTTGTTAGGACAGGGGAACTTAAAAAATTCAAAGTGAACTTGTTTTTTTTATTCAACAGATATCATTTATACGAAGTTCAAAGTGAAAGGTAAAATATTTACAAAAATGTACGTATCATAAAACGTCATGGGCACCTATGTGATAACAATATTTAGTTTATACGTTCAAGTCGCAAACAACGTATTTATAATATTTAGTTGTTATTGTAGCGTATTTTACCTCCGGATGAATATGCTCCGACACAAATGTGTTGGCTCCATCAGAGTGATATCGCGGCCTCACAGAAAATCGGCGTTAAGCAGTTCTTCTGATGTTCAACGGAGTTTCAAGCCACTCTCCTTGGTGTTACTCAAAGGCTAGCAACGCACTCATGAGTCTTTGAGTTGTGGGTCTAAATGGGCGGCGCTATTGACCTGACTGCTCGTTTGCCACTTAAGCCATAACAAGATATAAGAAATTTGTATGCCAAATTTCTTAACGATCTCTAGAACGGTACTTAAAACATATAACACGAAAATAGACATTTTTTTATAAAAAGGTATGTCACATAAGCCTGTGGTAACGGATTAAGAATACAGTGTCACCACGCCTATTCATCCCGTGGGTGTCTTAGAAGCCGACTAAGGGAGAAAAGGGAGGAACGAAAACATGAAACAAACCTTATATCAACCCGTTTGACCAGCGTGGTATATTAAGCAAAAACCTCCTTTCTGAGGAGAGACCAATGTCCAGTAGTGGACTACCAAGGATGATGATGACATCATATAAAGGAGAAAAAGGAGTTGATTCTTGTATTTGCCCAATAGGGATATAAACATCGAAATAAGTAAGTATATCTACGAAGGAATATGCTGAATTACAAATTACAAGTTAGTCCGTGTGGTGACGGATTAAGAATACAGAATGTTACCACCCCTATTCATCCTGTGGGCGTCGTAAGAGACGACTAAGGGAGCAAACTACGCAGGACAACAGCACTGCAAAGAGAAGGAAAACTTGAAACAAACCCTATACCAACCCGTCTGGCCAGCGTGGTATAGTAGGCCGAAACCTCCTTTCTAAGGAGAGGCCTATGACCAGCAGTGGACTGTTATAAGCTGTTGATGTGATGATGATGTGACGAGCCTGTTTGAAATAGCTTCAAGTCTAAGACGACACACACGATATCGCATATAATAAAATTGGCTGTGTGTACGTAGACACGTGGGTACTTTCGCTTCTAAGATAAGATAAGATAAACATTCTGTACAGTACGGTATAGTTGAACGTATGCAAATTTTTGTCACAGAACGAATAATGGCTTTGGCGCAAAGAGGGATCTTCTTTGGATGACGTAGAGATGAACATATTGAAGAAACACTATGGATTATGAGGGTAGACCACCACCCACATTTTAATCTACACACTAATATAATAAAGCTAAAGCGTTTGTTTGGCAAAACACGCTAATCTCAGAAACTACTGGTTCGATTAGAAAAAATAATTTAGTGTTTGATAACCCGTTTATCGAGGAAGGCGGTAGGCTATGTATATAACATCACGCTATGACCAATATGTTGCAAAAATGGGAAAAAAATAATTCTTTTTACACGCTTTATATTAGCTTCACTTGTATGTTAGTTTGTATGTTTGTAACCGACTCCTTTGGGCGTGATTTTGACTCAGAATTCGTTCAAAACACGGTCAGAATTCGTTCAAACTTTGTAGATATATCGAGGACCGATGACAATACACTAATTAAAAGAAAAATAGTTTAAAAAAACTAAAAAACATGCTTTCTATAGAAAACCAAACTAAAAAATAGAAAATGAATTTGAAAAAAATTGGGGTGGGGTGCGGTGCTTTTTACTATTGACAACAGGCACCCAACGCATTTTTCAAATTTATTTTCTAGTTTTTAATTTGGTTTTCTACAGAAAGCGTGTTTTTTTAGTTTTTTTAAACTATTTTTTTTTGATAAACGTAGTCGAGCTTAGCTATTCGTAGAATAGTGAGAATATGAACGGATATACTAATAATAATATGATAATCGTGGTAACTAGTTATTTAAATTGTACTTACGTTTTTTAATTTTGTAAAATGTGTAATAGTGGAACGACTCCTAATGTTTTATATTAACTAGTCAGCAGCGGTTTCATCTGCTTCAAAGGGATGAAATCATAATACCATATGCTAAATCATATGATTTATAAATAATTGCTTCGGGCCTGTGACTGACTTACAAAACCACTGCTACTTAATTATTATTATTACGCTAACGCAAGACTCGCGAAAGGTCTAAATTTAAAAGAAAAGTCATAATCTTTAATAAAAAGAATTTTGATTAACTTAATACACAGGAATACTTTATCTTTTAAATACTTTATCTTTTTCTTTGACGAAATCACAATCACATGTGAAATCACTGTGACTAAATATAATCATTTTACAAAATAAAAATGATTTAAAAATAGCAATCATTCCCATTGCTCGTCTACTAAAAAGGTTGTAGCGTGATGCTAGCATTCTTCAAAAAATACTTTTTCCAATATAAAAAGTAAATAACCGAACAAAAAATCTTCAGCTTTATTACATGAAACATAAGGTCACTAGAAAATGAATAAATGGAGTGTCTATAGGTCAATGATATTATATACGAACAAGAGGTAGACAAGCCACTAACGCACAAAACGTAACGGTCCTAATTAGGACCACTGCGAGCGAGCGCACGTACTAATTAATTCGAAAAAATCATAAAATGCCTTCCTGTGTATTCCGAAAGTGCAAAATTACGACAAAAAGGAAAATAAAGGTAAAGGAATATCATACCACAGGTAAGTGTATGTTTTGTTTTAAAATGCAATAATAGATGTATGTACGGTTACGGAACAATTATTTTGTGCGTGCAGCACGAATATAACGTATCTTCTTTAAATTATCATTGCTATAGTTATTATCATTTGTTTAAACAAATGATTGCACTCTTTAATGTTGATTAAACGAATGCGAATGTTAAGTGTCAAAATAGTTTCAATTTATTTAACGTCAAAAAAGTATGTTCTAGAAATACTTATCTAGAACAACAAATTTTTACGTCATGCTGTCACCAAATCATTTACTTTTCGTGCTTACTGAAACATTCTCATAAATCATTCATCAAGTAAAAGACTGAAAAATAATTTCAAAGTACAGGCATCATGGTACAAGCTATGCTTAGTCTGAAACTGATGATGAGATGGCGTTGTGTGTCTGATAATGACGGATATAGTTTTAAAAGTGAGGCCTCACCAACACTCTGATGGTCCAGTCATCGGTAATATGTTCCGAAGAATGGTTCTCTCATGGTTAACTTATCGTTGTACTGTAAGTTTATTTAGAGAAATGATTTAATACAATACGTGAGCGTCTCTGGTTGTGGCCACTTACAATAAAAGAATGAAAAATTTAAAATGGAATACGAAAATGGAACTCTTTGGGAACATGTTACTTTTTAATTTGCGAGGCGGTCATTTGTTTTATCATTGTGATGTCCTTTCGAAAATTGTGTGTCGCTATCAAAATG